CTGTGTGTATCTTTTTGTGCCTTTTAAGAACACTACCATGAGTAAACATCTTTCCACACTTCATACATTTATATGGTTTCTCTCCTGAGTGGATCTTTTTGTGGCTTCTAAGTCCACTGCGATCAGTAAACATCTTTCCACACTCCATGCATTTATACGGCTTCTCTCCTGTGTGGATCCTTTTGTGTATTCTTAGGTCACTGTTGTTGGGTATAACATTGATACACCAACCACGTTTGGGTGAATAAATATATAAACCAAGGTTTGGGTTTTTGTAACTTGTAGCTTTAAGCACCAAACTGCTTGTAATTAACTAATTAAGGGTGCGGTTACAAACGGCAATAAAAGGCAGTAAGAGAAACATAACCCCTCTCTGCTTGTTTTCTGCTTGCTACTGTTTGTTTGCTACTGTTTGCTACAACTGTTTGAATACCTGAACGAAAGGACTATTTCATTGATGTGCTGATATCCTGTGAATACTCAGCATTGTCTTCAAAAGGAAAGGTATCAGAGGAGAAGATATCTTTACAAGCAGATAAGGATATAGAACTGACTAGTAAATGGACTAAGTTACTGAATGGATATATTTGTGAATGACATATGGACTGATTGACAATGTTTAAACTCTAATTGGATTAAACAACTATTTAAACTACAAACAGTGTTTGTCATCAGTGTGTGTAAACTCTAGGGCCCTTCCTCTTTCATTTGGTTGCCTGGCTTGACTGCTGCTGCACATTCTGTTTGGGGGTTTGTCCCCAAACACTAACAACTGTTATTAGCAAAGGTCTTTCCACACTCCATGCATTTATATGGTTTCTCTCCTGCATGGATCTTTTTGTGCCTTTTAAGATTACTGTCCTGGGCAAAGGTCTTTCCACACTCCATGCATTTATACGGCTTCTCTCCTGTATGTATCATCTTATGGGAAATAAGATGAGCATTTTGAGCAAAGGTCTTTCCACACTCCATGCATTTATATGGTTTCTCTCCTGAGGGGATCTTTTTGTGGCTTCTAAGTCCAC